ATTCTTAAGGGTGCAGTTCAACACAGCCTCTCTAGATTATGGTGAAAAAGTATTCCAAAGGAAGTCTTATCAGAGCTAGTGTCAGAAAGAATGACACTGCCAATTGGGCATGATCTTCAGCATAGGAAATGTCTTAGAATTTTATTATTTTTCTTAAATTGTGATGCTATACTACTGTATAGCTAATTATCACATTTCTAAAACATAGTGTTCCTCTGTGAATCTTGTTATATACTGTTTGGGCTTCTTTAAGATATTTTGAAGTTTGAAAAGCAGATATTGAAACTTGAACCAAGAGACTAACACATCTCTTTGTATGCCACTTCTCTTCTATGTGCATCGTAATAACTGGTAGAAAGTAATATATACAAGTAATATATTTTCATTTGTAATCTATACTTTCTAAGAAGACAAAAATGTTTCTGGGTCAACAAAACTTTAAAAAGCATGAAGCCCTTTTTAGTAACCTGACATGAGAATAAGATTATAGGTATATTTTTAAAAATCAGATTTTCTAAACAATGACTGTTGTAGAACATTGTATGGAGAACTTATCTAGTTATAGTTATTTGTAGATAGGATTTTAACAGCTTGCAACAGGTAATGTTTTGAATATAAATATCTTTCCAAAGTGTTACTAATGGTAAAGAGATAATTTTCTAGGCTTCTATTCTGCTGCTTGAAGTCAGAACTGCTGATGGAGACAAAGGCACGAAAGTGTACGTATTCCGGATTAGCAACCCAGGAACCCATCACTTCTGAAGACTTAACTGTGCTGTCATTTTGCTTTTATATGCATTAAAATATTTGTTTTAAACTGCTGTAGATGTTTGTGTTCAAACAGGTTAAATTGATCAGCAAACTCAATAAAAAGTAAGATGTATAATTATTAAAGTTTTCCATCAAAAAATAAATTAAATGATATGGAATAACATAATATTAGAGCAGGGCAGATAAATCAGTTGAACCTAATTATCGTTTATTTATTGTACTCTTGTCCTGTTGCTGTTCTTTTCTGCAGGAGGGAAGACCCCTGATCCTAAAATGAACGCTAGAACTTACATGGATGTAATGCGAGAGCAGCATTTGACTAAAGAAGAGGTATGAACCTGCTCTTTATTTTAATGGTTATGAAAGACTAGAAATAAGTCTGAGATTGAGAAATTACTTATTTGCCGAACAAGTAATTCAGTAGTAGTAATAAAAATAAAGTTGAGAAAAAACCTTACCCCAAATTCTACTACCCCTGCCTGTAAGCTTTTTTTCCTAGTCCCTGGCCTCTTGGCCATATACATGTGTTTCTTCTAGTGAATATGTCCGTGGGGGGGATTGATAGTGTGTACCTGAAGCCAGCGTGTAAGGAGAAAGCCAAGTAGTTAAATCATTCATTGAAAAACCTCTAATTCTCCCATAAAATTTACTTTGGATATGGTTGGAGAATTCTGAAGAAATTCTGCTAGCTTACAGAAATTGCTTCATTTTGTTTCAATATTTAGCCTTCATAACTTTATTATGAATATATAATTTGTCTAAATTAAGTGGGGGTGATGGAACTTCACTTGAAAATCATAGGATAAATTAAAAGCATTTGTTGGGATGTTATAGATAATATTTACATAATTATACTAATAACATAATTAAAAATTTTTCACTTTTTAACACTTCTATTTTGTTACATATTCTGAATTGCTGTTTATGAGTTTTAAATAAAACTATTTTTCAGTGGAAGCATTTTAGTTCTCTACCATTGGCTGGAGACTTATTTCACTATATAGAGCAGGGTGCTCTGTTATAAATTCTGTACACGGCATCTGTTGTGCAGAAAGACATTGTATGAAACGGGAAATACAGAGAAGAGAGGGAAAGTAAGGAGCAGGACTACAACTAGCCTAGGAAGGAGAGTGAGTGAAGAATAACATGACCTTAAATAGAAATGCTTGTCCTAATGATATAAAAATATATTGAAAACGTTTTAAAGATACTCAGTGATTATTCAAATATTTTCAGAGGGAAATTAGGCAACAACTAGCAGAAAAAGCTAAAGCTGGAGAACTGAAAGTCGTCAACGGAGCAGCAGCGTCCCAGCCTCCGTCCAAACGAAAACGCCGCTGGGATCAGACAGCTGACCAGACTCCCGGCGCCACTCCCAAAAAGCTGTCCAGTTGGGATCAAGCAGAGGTGGTTACATTGTGTTTTTTAATACTATTGTAATTTTTCTTCTCACATGAAATGTATTGTCTGCTCTCATGACATAACAGACTGGGTGGCTTAAAAAACAGACATATATTTTCTTATAGTTCTGGAAGTTCAAGGTGCCAACTAAGATTTTGAACAAATTATGTGCTTTACACCCCTAATGGAAAATTTCACAACTCTAATATATAGAATCTTTTTAAAGGGAAAAATAATGAATTTTAAATTATAGTATTTATGCAAGTTTGCAAACAAAGCTAGTTAGAACTCAATGTTGGATAAAGCATCCAATTTTAAAACATACATAAAAAGTATAGTACAAAACCTATAGAATATTTATGTCATTATTTAAATATAAATCACACTGAGTCACCTAATGTGTTGCTACATATAGTAATATCTGTACTGTGCAGGCTCTTTTGCTATCACTTGCTTTTATCTTCTATCCTCCCTTATATATTACTTAGTCCCTGTGCAAGTTATTTATCTTATATCCTCAATAAATCACCATAACCTTTGATTCTCTAAATCCACTTCTAATTTTTTTTTCCTGATCTTGCCAGTATCAGAGGAGTAATGCAAATGTGATTGTAAATATAAATTAATCTATTTATATATTTTTTATTGATTTCAGAGAGGAAGGGAGAGAGAGAAACATCAATGATGAGAATCATTGATTGGCTGTCTTCTGCACGCCCCCTACTGAGGATTGAGACTGCAACCCAGGCATGTGCCCTTGACTGGAATCAAACCTGGGACCTTCAGTCTGCAGGCCAATGCTCTATCCAGTGACCAAACCAGCTAGGGCTATAAATTAATCTTAAGGATTAAAATGTGTTGTAATATTTAGTTATAATTACCCACGTGATCCGAAATGTCTTATATTAAATATATAAGCACAGAATGAAGGAAAATACAAAAGTAGTATTTCTCTTTTTAAAAAAATATATTTTATTAATTTTTTACAGAGAGGAAGGGAGAGGGATAGAGAGCTAGAAACATCGACCAGGTGCCTTTTGCACACCCCCTACTGGGGATGTGCCCGCAACCAATGTACATGCCCTTGACCGGAATCAAACCTGGGGCCTTTCAGTCTGCAGACCGACACTCTATCCACTGAGCCAAACCGGTTTCAGCAAAAGTAGTATATCTTAGTGAGAATTCAATGGGTTTGAGAACTATTTATAGAATATTGAAATTCTTTGGTTGCAGATCTAGACAGAAAAACCTTCATGCCTTTCCCAAAGTCACAGAGCTAGTAATGGCAAAACTAAGATTTATACTTAGCATTCAATGTTTTTAAAATGAGGGCTTCCTTCACTGCTCCAAGTTAAAACTTTAAATTGTGTTTAGTTGTAAACATACTTGCTAGAAAGTACTTATTATTTTTCTTTTTTTGAAAGTATGTATCTTTTAAATAGAACATAATCTACTTGAACTTTTAATTATGGAGAATAGCTCTAGCTAGTTTGGTTCAGTGGATAGAGCAAGCATGTGAAGCTCAAAGGCTGACATGGACCAAATATACAAGGTGTAAGTTTACGTGGGCTGCAAAAAAAAAAAAAAAAACCCCTTCAATTTTCATAGGAAAGTAGGTTTATTTTGATAGAGACATGCTGAGAACAAGGGGCTGAAATAAATTAGTCATCGTTAACATAAAGTAATAGAACATTTTAATAAAAATTAATATATTTTCTTGAACATTAAATCATCAGGCATTGAATAACTGCGCAAATTTAGAAGCATAACACAAATAAAAACCTATTTTTCTTGTTTTCCAAAAGTGAAATATTTTCTGTTGCACACACCAAACAAGTCAGGCCAAAAGTAATGATGTGGCTGCTAAAATATTTGCTGCTAGTATTAGTGGAGAGAGACGGTGTGCCTGTGCATAAGGGAAATGAATGCAACGTGATTATAGTAATCAGTCACTAGTGAACATTGTAATAATTATGCATAACAGGATATTGTAAAAAATTAAGTCACAAAATTTTTATTAAAACATTTCTTACATACCGATACATTGGCTGAGCCACAAAAATATTCATTGTGGGCCACATGTTTGACATACTTGGGATAGAGTGTTGGCCTGCAGACAAAAGGGTCCTGGGTTCAGTTCTGGTCAGGGGTGGATACCTTGGTGGCAGGATTCTCCCTGGCCCCGGGCCATTTCTGGGCCCAAGCAGGAGGCAACCATTTGATGTGTTTCTCTCACATTGATGTTTCTCTCTCTTTCGCTCTCTAAAAAATGGTGGATCCCTGGCTGGTTTGCTCAGTGGATAGAGAGTCAGCCTGTGGCCCAAAGTGTCCCGGGTTCAATCCTGGTCGTCATGTACCTTGGTTGTAGGCTCCTCAGGCCCTGGCGGTCAATCGATGAGTTTCACATCGATGTTTCTGTCTTTCCCTTTGTCTTTCACTCTCCCTAAAAATCAATGGAAAAGTGTCCTCAGGTGAGTCTTAACAAAAATAATAAAATACATAAATAAGAGACCAGTGGAAAAATATCCTCTAGTGAGGATTAACAAAACATAAAAAAATAAAAATAAACTTAAAAAATTATAGAGAATGGAACTAAAGCATTTGTTAAATTTTTTTTTTTTAGTGTGTATTGGGGTTACATTGGTTAATAGTTATATAGGTTTCAGTTGTACAATTCTATAATACAGCATCTTATATATTGTATTTTGTTTACCACCCCAAATCAAATCTCCTTTCATTATCATCATTTATCTCCTCTTTACCTTCTTCTACATTCCTTAGCCCCCTTTCTCTCTGGTAATCATCATACCGTTGACCCAGACCCCTCACTTCCCTCCTCTGACAGCTGTCAGTCTGTACTCTATCTATGAGTCTGTTTCTATTTTGTTTGTTTATTTTCATTAGATTCCACATATAAGTGAGATCACATTTAAAATGTAACATGAATTTTTTAGTTACTTGTATAAGGGTGTGTAGGTGTGTGACATAAAATGTTTTTGCTCTGTTAAGACCCCTGGACATACCCCTTCCTTAAGATGGGATGAGACACCAGGTCGTGCAAAGGGAAGTGAGACTCCTGGAGCAACCCCAGGCTCAAAAATATGGGATCCTACACCAAGTCACACGCCAGCGGGAGCTGCTACCCCTGGACGAGGCGATACACCAGGCCATGCGACACCAGGTCACGGAGGTGCAACTTCCAGTGCTCGTAAAAACAGATGGGATGAGACCCCCAAGACAGAAAGAGGTACTTCTGGAGTCTGGGCGTTGTTGGGGTGAAATGTTGACTTGATGAGTTGTATATTTATAGCTCCAAATCTGTTCTTTCCCAATTCAGGTTAGATAAGCAAGTAACCTGCTTTAGGGATAGTTGAATAACTGAGCAGTGGGGCGGGTGGCAGGGGTAGGCTAGAAGGGGGTCAATGGAGGGATAAAGGGGCTTATGTATTTCAACAGTAAGTATTAATATTTAAAAAAAGAACTCAGCAGATCACATGCCTAATTCTTTCCCTTTCTTGAGGATACTAAAATTTAAGAAAAACATTAGGAAGAAATAAAGTTTGTAGTTCATAACCTTTTTTTTTTATTGTGGTAAAGTATATATAACATGAAACTTACCATTTTAACTGTACAATTAAGTGGCATTAAGTACATTCACAGTGTTGTATAACCATCACCAATATTCATTTCTAGAACTTTTTCATCATCCCAAACACATTCTATATCCAGGAAGTAATAACTCCCCATTTTTGTCTCCTTAAACTCTATTCTACTTTCTGTCTTTATAAATTTTCCCAAATCTTATTTTTTTATATTATCCAATTAAAGCTGTTTATGAGAGCTGTGGCAAGTTAAAATTTTGTAGTACATCTGCTGTATTAAAACTTATTTACAACTCTTGCCAGTTTGGCTCAATGGATAGAGCATTGGCCTGTGGACTGAAGGGTCCTGGGTTTGATTCTGGTCAAGGGCACATGCCCAGGTTGCAGGCTCGATCCCCATTTGGGGCGTGCAGGAGGCAGCTGATCAATGATCCTCATCATTGATGTTTCTATCACTCTCTCCCTCTCTTAAATCAATAAAAATAAATTTAAAAAAATTATTTGCAGAATATTTAATGATACGGGAGAGAACTTGTCATGTAATGGATGAAAGAAACAGTATAGAATGTACATACAGAGCAAGCTCAACTGTATATCTCAGCTGTATGGGGAATTGAAAAGTGACTTGAGACAGAGTGGCTGTCTCTAGTTGTGATATTAAAGGTGGTTAAAAGATACTTTGTTTTCCCATTCCTTAATGTTTGCTAGGTATTGTTTCTGTAGCCAGTGAAAAAGGAACAAAAAATAGTGAAGGGGAGGATAAATATGAAACATTTAAACCTAAAATGGGCCTGCATTTTAGGAATATCTTGCTTTTGAAATTTATCAGTTTGAGTATGTTAGCTGTTTGAGAATAAAAAGTAAATTTTTGACAGTGGTTAAAACTTGAGACAAAAAACACTTTTTTTTTTTTTTTTTTTTTTTTAGATACTCCCGGGCATGGAAGTGGATGGGCTGAGACGCCCCGAACAGACCGAGGTGGAGATTCCATTGGAGAAACACCCACTCCCGGAGCCAGTAAAAGAAAATCACGTTGGGATGAAACACCAGCTAGTCAGATGGGTGGAAGCACGCCTGTTCTGACGCCTGGGAAAACACCAATTGGCACACCAGCCATGAACATGGCTACCCCTACCCCAGGTAAAACTCTTAGCTGTCTCCTATCCCAAGGACCTATGGAGCGATAAATGTTTGTGCTATGGATAGTTACAGAAGTCTGCTTTTCCGGTAGGTCACATAATGAGCATGACTCCTGAACAGCTTCAGGCTTGGCGTTGGGAGAGAGAAATTGACGAGAGAAATCGCCCACTTTCTGATGAAGAATTAGATGCTATGTTTCCAGAAGGATATAAGGTAAAGAACATGAAATATGAATGTGATGGTTTTTAGGATATAAAATAGGAATTTTAAGTGTTCTTTCAAGAATTTACAAGTCAAGTTTGCACTGGCCTTGTCTAAACTTATTAGTACCATTACATTCTTTTAGCTGTTTCCAAGTATATTTCAGTTCCAAAAAGTAATCGGAGTGAAAACAAATTACATGGAACTTTTTATTACTTTTAGAGGTTGAGAAATCTCATGGACTTCTAGGACTATATACTTTGAGAAGTGCTGCTTTGAGGGTTTGGAATAACTTGCTGCTTCCGTTTATTAGTGATCCCAGGATTAAGCTCACATTGGGTTAGGGTTATTTAACTTGGTGCCTCACAAGATTTTGTGTATTTAACAAGTTCATGGATTGCCACTGGACACAGAATATTCTCTCTTTACCATAGCAATTTGAAGTTCTAGGTCCCTGGGGCTCAAAGATCACCATTCGCTAGTCTGAAGGCAGTCTGGGCATGTAGATGGTGTCCTAACCAGGGCTGGAACCTACATCATTTATGGCCTTTTCAGAGCCTTTTCTGCCAATGTCCACTGCTTTTTAACAGTTTATTTCCCCTTACTAGGTTTGTTTTAAGGTGTTTAAGTATTATGAATTTCTGCTTTATAACGTTTTGTAGTCTCCACATAAAGTGGGTGTATACATATTCTGCACCTGTGTTGACTGCCTGTGTTGTCAGTTGCAATCATTGATTTCCTTTATAGAAACAGAAGGGAAAATCCTCTCTAGTGAATGTTCAGTGCAATTTCTTTGACTTATTCAAATGGTGTGTATTTTACAAGGCATTGATAAATATTTTTAGTTTGCATGCATTGATTTCTGAAAAGCGAGTTAAATATTTAAGACTTGATTTTTGGTATGATAATTTTTATTTGATTAAAACCAACATATATTAATGTTTGAAAGTAATCAGAATTTTATAATATGCTTCATTTTCCTAAATTTCCCACAGTCCTAATTAAGTTCTATTAACAGATGAGAAATATGAATATTTGTCATATATATTTTAAACTTATAATCAAGATAGAAAAATGGGATCAATAGTAGTAATTCCTATCTCCAAGCAAAAATCTTCCTAGCGAATAAACTGTAATATATATATATTTTTTCTAGTGTGGTATTAAGTTTACAACATTCTTTTTTTTTTTTTTTAATCAATCTTTATTGTTCATATTATTACAAAAGTTCCTCATTTCCCCCCCCCCCCTCCACCAGGTTCCCACTCTTTGCCCTTTCCCCACCCCCCATTGTCCTCGTCCATAGGTGAACAGTTTATGTTCAGTCTCTTCCTGCATCCACCACTCCCCTATTCCCCGAGAATTGTCAGTCTACTCCCCTCTCGTATCTCTGATTCTATTGTAATCAACAGTTAATATTGTTCATCAGGTTATAAAATATTTTTTAAGTGCAAATGTTGTTATTCATTACATTCATCTTTAGTTTGTCAAGAAAATCTTAAACTCTTTTTACCTATCTTAGGTACTTCCTCCTCCAGCTGGTTATGTTCCTATTCGAACTCCAGCTCGAAAGCTCACAGCCACTCCAACACCTTTGGGTGGCATGACTGGTTTCCACATGCAAACTGAAGACAGAACTATGAAAAGTGTCAACGACCAACCATCTGGAAATCTTCCCTTTTTAAAACCTGATGACATTCAGTACTTTGATAAACTCTTGGTAAGTGAGAATAGTAGAAATAAAATAATACCTTTATTTAGGGATTTCAAATCATAATGTCTCAATCCACCTTTAAATTATTTTCTTTTTACTATATTAGGTTGATGTTGATGAATCAACACTTAGTCCAGAAGAGCAAAAAGAGAGAAAAATAATGAAATTGCTTTTAAAAATTAAGAATGGTACACCTCCAATGAGAAAGGTAAGTGTCAGTTCATTAAGTCATCATCTTAATTATAAGTTTATGTTTAGAAATGTATTACCCTCTTCTGCTTTACAAAGGGCATAGTATGAGTGAAATAAAGATATGTAATAAGAAGGACCTAGCTTTTTAATCAAGGGATTTTATGCTAATAGAGATATTAAAAAATAAGATTCTCTTTTTTTTTTCTTCTCCTCTTTTTTTATCCTCAAGGTATTTAAAACATGCTGAAGACTCAAATTAGTGGGATTATGTGAGGAATTGTGTAGTATCCTATATGGCTTGAAGATGGGCAATCTTTTACAGGGAGATTAAGGAATTTTATAACTAGTGACTCCATTGTTCTGTTACCCTTTATTAACTGAAACATTGAACTTCTGTCATAGGAATTCACACTTCAGAGTAATTTTTATGGGAATGAACTTAAGCTACTCTATAAAATCCTGTAAAGATTAAGTTACAGACAATTATGGATTAATTGGTTTGTTCAAAATGTTAATGACAAAGAAACAACTTTTATTCTTTTTCTCCCCCAGGCTGCATTGCGTCAGATTACTGATAAAGCTCGGGAATTTGGAGCTGGTCCTTTGTTTAATCAGATTCTTCCTCTGCTGATGTCTCCTACACTCGAGGATCAAGAACGTCATTTACTTGTCAAAGTTATTGATAGAATATTATACAAACTTGATGACTTAGTTCGACCATATGTGCATAAGGTTTGTTATTCTCAAGTAGTGTTTCTAGTGGTTTGATTTTATTTTTTATTTATTTATTTTTAGAAAAATATATTTTATTGATTTTGTACAGAGAGGAAGGGAGAGAGATAGAAAGCTAGAAACATCGATGAGAGAGAGTCATCGATCAGCTGCCTCTTGCACACCCCCTACTGGGGACATGCCCGCAACCAGGGTACATGCCCTTGACCGGAATCGAACCCGGGTCCCTTCAGTCCCCAAGCCGACGCTCTATCCATTGAGCCAAACCGGTCTTAGCTC